TCTCCTATTGACATTCAATTTTGCCACGTGTGGTGCCTTCTCACCTGATTCCGCGTGCCAGGATCAGTGAACTGACAGGACTCTTCACTCCCTCACTGCCACTGCATCTATCACTGCCACTGCCTCAGGTAGTAGAAGCGGAGACAGAACCAGCATGGCTACCTACAGCATAAATATCTCCTTTTTCTTCCTCAGACAGGTACCTAAGCATCATCAAGAAACTTCCACGATGAGTTCATGGCTTCAACTGATTTGAGTGCACTTCACCTCTATATCACGACGATTTGATTACAAGCCACCTTTTCGCCCCGGTTCCTTGTCCATTGGAATTACCATGCTCGCTATGGCAATTGCCTCGACTCAGATGGTCCCTTTGGATCCAATCGGGACTCGAAACTTCTTTTGCATTTTACGGTTGGTCGACACCGGTCGAACTGCGTGACATCGGTTGCCTGGATCACCTCCACACTGCAGCCTGAAGCTCACACTTGAACTTTGTCTCCTCAAGAGGCTCTTCACTAGCTTGGTTGGATTGTACTCCTTATCGGCTCAATCATCATTCCCACCTTGCTCAAATCCCAATGTGCCACCAGCGACTTCACGCTGGATTGCAGTTCACGCGGTAACAAGACATTAGATTACTTCACTGCAACTGCCTCATGGTCACTTGATCACTGCCCTGGCTCCTGCCTCCTGGTCAATGCCTTGTTTTCTGCCTTGGCCGGTGCCTTGGCTACTTCTATATATTTTGAAGCCCCAGTCTAACTCACCTGTTGTTTCTCACAGCATCAACCCACTAGACACCTCGCCATGACGCGCATTATCAGCGACTTCCCGACAGAGTTGGTCAGGCTCGTTCTCACAAGCATCAAGCTAGATTCTCCAGATAATCGAGACGGCTCCAAGATCTGCCCCAAACCAACATCACTCTAACCCATCTCCAACTACCGAAGTTCTGTCGGTCATCATGTCGGGCTTCACAGGCTACGAAATCGTTTTCTGTCAATTTCTCCTTACCCAACTTGATATGCCCACTCAACGCTGATCAATCCCATTTCTTACTAATCAGCGACATATATATTTAGCGACTCACTTGGCCGAAGCCAGCCGCCTAGGAATTGACAACATCCGCAGCATCCACAGCCCAGAGGATGGCATTATGGCCTTCCGCCATGTCTATCCTGACAATCACCCGTACCAAGTCAACGTCGAAACTTTTGCCAACGATCTAGCAGAATAACCAGATGGCAATTCGTTTGTCTATCCACCGAGGACAACTAGCTCGATCTTATTGTCACAGAGACGTTGCAGGAAGTCACCGAAAATGCCCAAGGCAAGCCTCTTCCTAACTTGTTGACTGAAGTCTCAGAGCCTTTGACAATGACCATTACAAAGGAACCTGCGCAAGACACCATCTTGGCCGACTAGGCAATGGCGGACGATGATTTTGATTTCGCCTCTGAAGGTGATTCTGACTATGAATGTTTTCAGGTATTCAAGGATATTCCTGGCTTGCTTGCTGATGCGAATAGACGATGACGTTCATCCTGCATCTATATATATGTATGTCAGGATCATCCATGAACAACATGGATGACGGCGAAACACATCTGCCAAGGCACGTGACGAATTAGTAGAGGCCGCTACTATTTCGTACTCCACAACATACACCAAGAACAACGCGGCTACGAAGGTGTGGAGGGTGTGGACCAAGATCAAGGATGGGGTGGAACCAGCCTGGCCCTCCAGAAAGTGCCTGTATGACAATATCGACCTAGCTCCAACAGAAGCGGAAGACACAAGGGACCAATTAAGGTGGACAAGCCAAACCAGGGCCAAAATGAACTTGACCTGCTTCGAAGCGCCGCCTGGAATCCAGACGATGGTGAGATATTAGCAAATAATGATCCTATTCTGCGAGCTCTTCGCCCTGCAATAGGAGGCACCTTCACGCGGCGCAGGGCGTCAGTACTCCTGTCTCACCAGCACAGCGAGGAAGCTGAGACCTCCCAGACTCTAGTTGGCAATAATCGATTACCTCGGACCAGGCCTGCGAATGCATCACCAACGACTACCGACACCTCAGCAATTTCTTCCCCCTAAGCGGTATGCGTTAGACTTAAGGAATGAGCGAACTAGAGGCAAATACCTAGATTCTGTGTATCCTGTACCGATAGATATTTTCTCTTTTGTGCGTGGTGCCAGTTGCAGGCGACCCGTCCACTTAATGCCCCTGGAAAAAGGTTTAGCACAGATTGAACATTAAAAACAACGCTTCCAGATCCTACGGGCCCTTGGATATAGTGAGATATCAACAGATGATAATCCTATTCCACAAGCTCCTCACTACGTGTCACATTCCCTAAGCTGCCATCCCTGCTCTGTTCGTAGCGGCCAAATCAAAGATGGCAAGCCACGTTCTCGATAATTTCCACCGCATTCCGTTCTTCGATGAAACCTTCGGACCACGAGGTGGTGGCGCTCTCTGCTCAATATCCACGTGAACGAGTTCTAAGTCCCGAAAAGAAACTTCCCCCGTCTGCCAACTTCGAGCTCATATTGCTGAAACTAGCCCAAGGGCCGCTGTGCAGTCCTAGTGACGATAGAAAGACGCCAGATGTCATCGGAGAGGCGAGTCATCTCCTTCAATATGCTGAAGGCCAAATCTGGGTCAAGACAATGGAGGGCTGCCGCCTCCCTCTTAAGCTTTAGCCATATCAGAGAGAATTCCCAGTTTGAAGGCACCAAACCCAAGCATCTAGATTTTGAACAATCGAGAAACGCTTCCTGCTCGTTTACGCATGCCAGTTGAGCTATAGGACTTGGAGGATCGAGAAGGTTGCACACTCTTAGAAGGGGTGACCCTAAGTGGAGACGGTGAGCCTCGCTGGCTCACCAGAAAGCTCACTGGGAAGGAAATTGAGGAAGTCGGGTATGGTCCAGGCGAAGATTCGAATCCTAGTCCTCCGCCACGAGGAGTATTCGAACTGCCCAGGCACTTTCCTTCAATCAGTCGTAGCGGAACAGTCGCCCCAGAGGTTTACGGGTTGCTCACTGTGGGAGACTAAGGGCTACGGGCTTGGATTTGTAGCAGACACAAACACGAAGTCACGGAGCTTATGTGCCTAGGTATCAATTCGAATCGTGTCGGCGACGGTGTATGGTAAATGATATTCTACACTACCTAGCCAAGGGAGCAGGCCAGGAGGCCGGAGGTTCACATTCGTTCAGATATCGAGACATAGCATGGCATGGCAGCAGAGGGGAGAGAGCGGGCGGTCAGCTTACCGTCGACATTGAGCCGTGGTCAGTCACTCATTGAAGCGGAAGGAGAAGCAGGATTGATCGTCCGGAGAGTGTCTAATACAGTTCAATGGCTTCAGGCTCCGATCGAAGGGGTCGCAAACGCACACACGTTTTGAGTTGCATTGGTCCCTGTCTTCTTCGATGCGGAAAGAGATTGTAGAGGTCCATTCATGAGATTAGACTTCGAATAGAAATCCAAAGAATGAACAAAAAGAAAACAGAGAGTTAAAAAAAAGGGAGTCGTCGAGTCGTTCTGTATACTTCTTCCCCTTTGGATGTGTTATGCCATGTTCGTGCTATTGTACATTCTCGGCAAAAATTCTGCGCTCAAAAGTATGATACGATGTCATACTATGCAATGATATGGTAATGAAGTCCATGCCGGGGCTAGACCTCTTATTGTATCAGAGATGTTTTTTCGTCTCAGGCTGAAGGTTTGGCCATGATCCTTATCGTACTCTTACATTCCCTCCCTCTGCTTGGCGTTCAACAGGTGCATCTGACTGTACAAGGCCGCAACAGGTGTTGAACCACGAGGCTTTAGCACTCAACACCGACTCTTCGCCAACTCGCTCTGAGCAGTAGCCGTAGGTCCACCAGCGACAGGGCGTTGTTCTCCGGTGATCTTCTTCTCCCCTTCGGTGATGTCATGGAGAGTGTCATGGTTGATGGGTTCATTGGCGTGCTTCTGAGCTTGGGCAGTTGGACCACCTCGTACTGGGTCGGCCGAACGAGTGATGTCTTTCTCAGCAGCAGTAACCTTGGAGATGGCATTGCTGCCTAGCGTCCCCGTTGGGTTTGACGCGTTGGCAGAGGTAGAATCAGAGGTTCCATTGCGTTCATGAGCGAGGATGCTCTGGGCCGAAGCTGTGGGGCTGCCTTTGATCCGTTCACCGCTAGTGATTTTCTTCTCGCCCTCTGTGATGTCGTGTAGGGTTTGGGAGTTGATGGTCTCACCCACATGAGATTGAGCCTGTGCGGTAGGACCACACTTGACGACATTTTTGGCACCGGTGATCTTCTTCTCTGCGGCAGTGATGCGGGAGATGGTCTCTGAATTGAAGATTGGGTCAGACATTTTGAGTGACTGGGAGTGTAGAGTCTGGCTTTTGAGATGGGAGATGTGACGAGCGGAGTGGAATTCGAAAACGGTAGAGTAGTGAGGTGGTTTTGGTGAGAGTTGAAATCGAAGAGGAAAGAGTCAACAAGACATATATTGATGGCAAGGAATTCACGAAGCAGGAAAGCACGTTTTACAACCCAATGGAGCAGGAGCAACCCAGGATTGCTCGCATTTGCTCTTGACTTTAGTTCGCTCTGAGGAGGTTTCCTGAATCCTGTCTTACCGACTGCTTTGTTGCTGCTGCTTGATCATCCAGTGCCTTACCTCGCTTGCAAGCCTAAACAGACAGCTGGATATTTAAGCAGAGTGAGCGAGAGCCTGGAGTCTTGGTTTCCCAAGCTACAATGATACTGTCAGCGACGTTGAAATCGATGTCATAAAACGGCATCTTACGTCCCAGCCAATCAGGTAGACATCATGATCTGCGCGTTGGTGGCGTAAAGTGGCGTGTGATGGAGCTCGGGGGCGTTCACCCGATGATCAACCGAGATACAAAAGTTGCTCCTTCACACGCTCATACGGAGGCCCTTCGTACAGCAAGCCCAAGAGCTCCATCTGGCAGTCAGACAAGATGAAATTCCTCCGACCGAGCAGACACCGAGACCTTGCTCTGCTGTCTTCCATACTCCGCGTCTCACAGCCCATCTGTGCCAACTGTGCATGTCTCCAGGGCCAATCCGATGGCGGCGCTCGAGCCAATGTATCCTCAAGTCGTCCATTTTCGGTGCTCAATCGACCTCCACCAAACTATCCTGGTCATGTCCCCCTCACTGGCGTTGAGCGCGTAGGCCTAGCAATTGGCAGCGCAGTCACCTCACTTATCGACCCCTACAGGCATGACATGGTCGCCGCATTGGGCGAAGCCACGGCACAGCCCTTCTTCATCTCATGGCTGCGGAATCGCATGCTGTCAGACCCGACGGGGAGGAGAATACTACGAGACCGCCCACGCATTACCTCCAAGACCATGTCTCTCGAGAAACTACGACAGCTGCCTGACAACAGCGTGGGAAGAACATATGCAGCTTGGCTGGATAGGGAAGGCGTCACGCCCGACACCAGAGATGCTGTACGGTACATTGACGATGAAGAAGAGGCATATGTCATGCAGCGATACCGGGAGTGTCATGATTTCTACCATGCTGTGACTGGTCTGCCGGTGTGGGCAGAGGGAGAGCTTGGATTGAAGGCGTTTGAGTTTGCAAACACCGGATTGCCCATGACGGGACTCAGTCTAGCTGCAATTGTCCGCCTGAAGCCCTTGGAGAGGCAGAGGATGTTCCAGATCTTCCTGCCGTGGGCCTTTTCGAACGGATGGAAGAGCAAAGATGTGATTAACGTATACTGGGAGGAAGAACTCGAGACGGACGTTGGTGAACTGCGCCAGAGGCTAGGAATTGAGCAGCCGCCGGATCTGAGGGCAATCAGGAAAAAGTTGAAAGACGAGCGCAGAGCTGCAAAGGCCGCCAGAGCCGCCAAAGAGGCAGCGGCACAGTCTGTTGCCCCTCTTCGACCAGAGGCGTGACCATAAATAAGGATGAAAAACAATGCTCGTCGTGGGGTATCATATGCAAATGCGTCGGGATTATTTTCCCCTTTCCCCAATCACACCTCTTTCAACAGATCGTCCAAGTCATCATCGTCCCATCCGCCTCTCCTAACGACCTTGACGCTCTCCATGGTATGGCCCGTCTGCTTCTCATGCTCGGAAAGACTGGTGAGCATGTCCTTCAGTTGATCTTCGGTGACTTTCTGTCGTAGTTGACCCGACCGTGCGAGCATGATCAGCCTGTTCTCGACGTCTGTGGCGCGTGACTCTTTGACCATGCGTATTCTCCCCAGTCGGTCGGCAGCTTCTGGCTCTAGGATTTGGGACAGCATGAGGGATCGGGCTTCCGACTCTTGTTTTCTGCAATGTTTGATGAGTACCCTCTGGCTGCATTATTGACGAAGATGATGTTCTTCCGAACCTTTTCTGCTCTTCACTGTCGCCATTGTCGCTTGACCCTCCTCTACCTTGCTGTTGCTTGAGTTGCGCAAGACGTGCCGCCCTGATCTGTGCTTGTGAGTGAGTGAATTGGACTGGATATCGCCCTCGACCAGCCTACCTGTGCTAGGTCGTCGTCCGCCATCGTTGGGAGGACAGGCGATACTCTTGTGAGATTGGAAGAGACTTTCAGCAGGATAATGCACGGAATCGCAGGCGGGGCGGGTGCCAGTGGTGCCAGTGGGATGCTCCTTAACGAACTCTGCTAACTGGTCCAAGTGGCGCAGGGCACCGCGTGGGTGCAAGGTGGGTGCCACCACCACGAGCTGCACCCTTGACTGCCCGAGTGCCCAAATCCTCCGCTTATGACGCGGCACCATCCCATCGAGCCATCCTTCTATTATTCCTTCACCGGGCATTAACCGAGATGACGAGAAGTCGTCCTTCTCATCGTTCGGCTGTTCATAATTCGCTCCTACATTGTCCTCGGGGCATCCCCAGATCTCCTCCCCGATCACCTCATATTCATCTGATCTCGCCTTCAGATCGATACACACAGTAACACGTATTTCTCAGGTGTTGTGACCTTCTTTCCACTCATTCCATCACCACTCACTCGTCGCGTCCGCTCGCCAAACGCCCTACTTGTCTGCAAGCTGTGCTCCAAAGCAACCAGCGGCACCCAGCGGCACCCAGCATGAATTCCACAACAGCTGCCTGAAACACGTCGCCCTTTCATTTCACTTCTGTGGTAGGAATATGAATGCTTGGGTACATCATGGCGCCTTCTTAGGAGCTGGCGTCCCCACCCATTCGCGTTCACTATCCCTGGGGCCGCCCATGAACACATCGCGAAACAACCTATCCAAAGCGCAGTCCGCTTCTAATCTGCGAACAATGGCGACCGTCGACTCGTCTCCTCCCGAGCCACCGAGACGCCAGGGGACGTCACCAGAAATCTCCTTCCGGACTATTGCAGACCCGAGGAACGCAAGCACATCCGACCTCTCTAGGTCCAACTCCGCGCCCTCAAAACATCCCGACGTCAATGCCGAAGTTGCCGCTCTAAGCGACAAACTGATCAGCGCAATCAACCATCAAACCACCCTAGACGATACTCTCACTCAGACGAGACAAGAGTTGGAAGCCTCAAGAGCACGCATCGCAAAGTTGGAGGCTGAAGCTAAAGCATATGAAGAAAAGATTTCGCGAGGAGACTTGCTTCCAAGGGAAAAAGTCGACGAACAAAAAGATAAGCTTACAGCTGAACTGGTGGAGGAGAAAAAGCAAAGAGCACAAGTCCTCCAAGAGAAGCGCGGAATAGAGACGGAGCTGGAAACGCTGACAGCCTCGTTGTTCGATGAAGCAAACAAGATGGTTGCCTCGGCCAACCGAGACCGCGACGCCATCGAGAAGAAGAATCAACAGCTTCGCGACCAGATCAAAGACGGCGAAGCTTTAATAGCCTCCCAGACTGAGCAACTGGCGGAACTAAAAACACTAATGCAGCAGATTGGCCCGGCTTCGGACTATCGAAGGGACCTTGAGTCCCCCCGAGTGTCACTAGCACCCTCAAGCCCTGGTGTGACGAGAGAAGGGAGTGATCTAGCTCGCCTTCTTGAAGCAATGAACCTGTCCCCAGTTACACTCGAGCACGGCGAGCTCGCTCCCAGTCCTTCTACCACTCTAACACACCTGGTCAAGCCACTCTGCCGGACAGATATCCCAGCGTATGAGGATTTCAGGAATCTGGTACAAACGTCGCATTTTCGGTCGCATAATCCTTCCCATGCCCCGTCTAGAGCAGGCTCGGGCTCCTACGGCGGGCTAAATGTGATGGGTCTTGGCTCACTGAATAATAACTCGCAACCCAATCTGTCACAGACCTCTCAAACAGCCACGTCGAAACTCGCCAATTCCCCGAATATTCCTGGATCGTTTAGCCCCAATCCAGATGCCAAAGGACCTGTTCCGCTAAGAGAGACGCGCTTCTTCAAGCGCATTCTAGTTGAAGACATTGAGCCTACTCTGCGCCTTGACCTCTCACCATCTCTTTCGTGGTTGAATCGACGCAGCATTCTCGCAGCAATGGGCGACTCCACTCTAATCGTGGAACCAATTCCCGAAGCATCCATCAAGCTGTACGGCAAATATACGCCGTGTGCCCTGTGTGGGGAGAACAGGAAGCAAGGTGAAAACCCTCGAACCCATGCCATGCGTGTTCGCGAAGGGGAGGGTGCTACCAGATGGTGTATATGCACCTTGTGCCTGGAGAAGGTGCGTGGCGTTGGTGACCTTGTCGCCTATGTGCGCATGGTCCGTGAGGGAGTGGTCAAGGTTGGTGACAAGAAGGATGAAGAAGACGCATGGGAAGAATTGGTCCGGTTGAGGGAGCGCTTGTTCTGGGCTAGAATGGCGGGTGGTGTGATTCCTGCGTTCATCCCTACGCCGAAACAGACCCCAGTTGATGATGAGAAGATTGGTGCAGAATTAGATGGACATGGGCAAGATGGAAAAGAGAACGATACTCCCAGTGAAGGAGCCGGTACCCCACCGGAGCCTACCGCTATACCGCCGGTGGATATCTCTCAGCGCTCAACACCCGGCACCGACGAGGCCGAATCCGAATCTCCCGACGAAAAGGCCGCCCGTCTCCAACTCCAACAAGGCTTAGACGCGACTCTGACTACCTTCGACAAAATCCGCGAAAATAAGAGGATGAGCGTTGGTAGTCGACAGAATTCGACGACGCCGCCATCGACACCTTCGCCGAATAAAAGCCTTCCAAAGAGAGAGTCTAGCACTGGTGGTGGGATCTCCTTCCCAAAGATTAACATTCCTAGACTGCCGCAAGGCTTCTGGGAAGCCCAAGTTAATACGCTGCGTTAACTGCACGGCGAGACGACAAAATTGGTTAAGGGAGGGCTCGATCGGGACGCAGGAGCAATGTACATTATAATCTAATACACAGCAACAAAACTAGCAAGCCAGTCATTTCTTGGCAAGACCGGGTGCAGATGCTTGTGACTACAGCAACGTGAAGTTGTGCGACTCCTTTTCGGTCCCACGCCATCTATACGTGACGGTTCGAAGTCCTTCGACATGGTGCGTGGCCAGAAGAGCCTTTTGTATATTAGCAGTGGTGATATTTGCAGAGCGGGACAGGTTGAAACCGTGGAATTCTTGAAGACATACAGCAATGAATGAAGAGAAAGGCCAGGGAAGGATTCAAGCAGAGGTCGGATTCGAGGGTTGACCGCTGAGAATAGTAATTATCCGAACCAAAGTGATGACAGGATGCATTAGTGTTTGGAGAGAGGCTTGACAAGCTGTTTACTTACGTCGATTATAAAGGTCTCTGGCGGCCCATTTTATGGGTGGTAGGAGGAGCATTGCCAATAGTTGTAAGAAGGAGAGAAGATCGCCTCTAGTCCATTGAGCTGGAGGACTGGTGATGTAGGTGTTGGTCGGGGGTTGTGTACCCGTGTTACTGAAAGTGATGTTCTGGGACGGACAGTTGAGATACATTTCAAACATTGCAAACATTTCTTTCGGTCTTTCGACGGCTTGTCCCTGTACTTCCGCTCGGCCCGTCCCTCCTGTTCCACCTTTCCGCTGGTATGCGTGAGCTCCAAACTATATGCAATCCTGTAGATGGGTTCCGATGTCCCGATCAAGGACACAGGACAAGCTTGAGCTATTCTGCATAGAGTCTCAAAACAAAGGGACTAACCTCTTTGGGCCTTCGGAACAACTCAACTAACTGCTTTGGGCCCTCGGACAGCCTTGTCCAATCGACTGCCATGTCCACTTGGCTATACAACATACTGCCATTGTCTGTTATTATTAGATCGTCCCTTCCCCATCTTTCTCACTCTTCTTCTGCCTCACCGACAGGCTTCAGGAGAAGACATCTCTGCTCTCTCGCCTCGACATCTTTTTACTGGACCACGACACCCAGATTCTGTCGTTTGGACAATGGAGCTCGATTTTGATCCTAGCGATTTTGACTTGCCAGCCTTACCCGCTTTTGAAGAATGGGATTCAGTGCAACCAGCCCCAGATCCGTCGCTCGGACACGACCTAATTTCGATGCCGCCTACATTAAATTATCCGTCTCAATTACTAGCGATCAGCACTCAAGATCCCGGCCCCAGTCCAGACCCGTCCCTGCTCCATGCACCCGACCGTGTCCCATCTGATAATCTGTTCATGACGCTCGGAGCCAACGAGAACCTTGATGATCGCACCAAGCTCCCTCGATATCGATATTGAAAGGATTGACTTGTTGATTCGTCGGCGTCTGCGCGATCGAGGCATTGGCGAATGCAATGTTCATGAGGATGACGAAGCTTTCAGCCTGATGCTCCTCAGGAATGACCTCAGGAGAGGGCGGCAAGAGCTAGTGATGCAAGGCCGGGCCCGTGTAGGACAGCTTATGCCTTCCTCCGGGGTATCTCGGGGCCTCGATGCTGTCCCGGAGACTTATTTGGACTTCCAAACTGCTGTATCAGACAGTTACATATGGAATTCTTTGCCAATGCCAATAAGAAACGAAGCCCAGCTCTCCCGAACGCACTTGTCTCACCGATTCCCCATTATTCCCCGCTAGAGTTCGCCAATGCAGATCAAGCGGCTTCCAACCACTCCTTGATTCGTGTTCCACCTCAGAGCCCATTGCAAGTCACCAATGAACAGCCAGCGAGTATATTTTCAAATCACAGTGCTCAAATTCAGGGCCCGGCTAAATATAAAACCTCACAGAGTCAAATCTGTCTTATCAGCAATATGGTTGAATTTCCAGAACTGCTTCAAAGCAGCCAGACATCAGTAGCAAGGTGGTCCAAATCCTAGAATCATCAAAGGCTATCAAGACTTTGCTAACCAAGAGAAAACGATTCTTCACAGAGCAATTAGAAGGGGGTTTTTATATTTCTTGTTATGCATTTGATGGATCACAGGACATTAACAAACGAAGGAAATGGACTCGAACTCGGAAGCAAAACACCAAAGACGTCAACGCTGCTGGGGGCGCATGCTTTCGGTGTCGATTGAAAAAGCTGCCCGTACGTTGACCCCAAGATTCTTGGAACTCCTTGAACATTCTGATGGAGAATCCAGTGTTCAGGTACTCGCCCGTGCGACAGTTGCCGAAAGTTCCTAGAAAGATCCAAAATCTGGACTCTCGGCTTTGACTACGTCTGCACTATTCGTTTCAGGCTGGCTGATTTCCTCGAATCTAGGTCATTAGGTCCACATCTCCCCTTATGCGGCCAAAAGCATAGTAGTTCAATCGACAACTTTCATTACCTCGAACTCACTCTGATCCACGGCTTGGAAGAAATGTTTGCAATCATATCGCTGGCATATTTTGCTGAAACGGCTGCTTTCTTCGGTTCATCTGCAGAATGTGTGGATCCCTTGCCCATTTTCCAGCAAATGTTCAGCTTGTCCCATATTTCCAGTGTGGTTGCTCACATTATGGTCAACAGGCTTGAGGAGAATTTTGCCACGTGGGGGGGGGAGCTGTCATTCACAATATACTCGTCAACACCGTGTCGGCCTTGAAAATCGCTGACTGCCTCATCGACCTACTCGTCGGCCGAACAGCACCGGACATCGTCGCCTGCTTAAGACGACTCTTTCCTCATTTTATGATTGGACTTCAACTTCAGCTATACCCTATAATCAACCTTCTAAGATCCAAAGACCAACCGTCTGATCTACTATCAAAGATAGAGCACGTCAGAGGTGCAATTGCGGCACGATTTGAAACTATCTGCAGCTCTTATCACTATGCAGCTCAATTCCGGGAACCCTGGTCTTTTATATCAAAGCTTATGGAGACTACAAAGAGCGATAAATCTCTGTATACCACCATTTGGTTCTCACGAGAAGAAATTGACCAGAACGTCGCCGAGATCGACATCGAATTTCTCCTGTCGTGACTGAAGTGTGACTCGGACGGAGTTACGAATTGCCCGGGTTGTCTAAGCCTCGCCGAATGGAGAAGAACGTTGTTAGATCTATATTCTCGACCCATTAACTTTCGATTGCGTCCAACATTGAAGAAGTTCTCCTTAGTTAATTGGGTATCTTCAGACGACAGGTTTTCCGTGAGCTTTGACGCCAGAGCCAGGTCACTATGAATCATTTCGACGTCCATCTCCACATATCAACAACATCCAACTATTATCTACTCCATGCCGAATCCATCCTCAGCCCCGAATATTCACATGTTTTCTCAGACTACGTGGCAGTGTTTTTCAACGGCTTTCTTCGCTTCTTGTTTCACAGGTACAAAGCGAAGACTATTGTTTCTCACGAAGTGGACCGAACGATTTTTTTCAACCTCGCCTATACACTAGCCCTCCAGCTGTTCCTCTGTGGAAACCCTCAATTAGAGTTTGGAAGGGCTTCCAAGTTTTGGAAGGACTTCTCCTCTGCAATAGTTGAATTAGACACAATTTGCGACAGCATTTGCTTTCGGCCAAGCAAATCTCTTTGCAATATAGATTTGGACCACAGCACGAGAATGACAGCATGATCGAATTGGTTTGGGTGACCAAGGACAACAACGGCTCTGAGCAGAGCAGCACCCTGTACCATGGCCGCCGTCATCTCCATCCAGATAATCATCCATGTGACTCTCCGAATGAATGCATCATTTGCCACCTTAGAAAGTCCTCCGAAACGTCAGAAGAAGCGTCCTCCGAAACAGAAGTAACTTTACAAGACTCTGACTTTGACGATGATCCGGACCGGTGGAATTACGGGCGATTTGGTCAAGTATGATCTCAAGGTTGGGCCTTACCATTAGGTCATACAGACGTTGAACTGGAATAATTTGTGTCCCTGGAAGAGCCGGGAGTCGGACGCAGGGGCGAGCGGTTTGTGACATCAAGACCGATTTGAGGAATGGCTAGCAATGTTGGACGAGGAACTTCCCCCTACTGCAATGGGGCGCTTCCTTTCTTTGATCCTTACGCTTCCACAATGACAGCAAGAAAACCCTGCTTTACCAGCGAAGGGGATGGATGAGATCTTCGGAGTGCTGATTGATATCTTGGAGGCCATTGCTTAATGCACTTCAGGTACAGCGGATGTATATTCAAAGAACATGGTACTATGCATTTCCTACTCCTGTCCCCAACCTGTTGAACTGGGATCGACCACAACATCCCCCCTAGGCGTCACTCTCACCGTGACATCACAGTCCTTCCAGATTCCTGAACGGGTAATCCTTCCATGCCTCGTCAAAGCCAACACTCCGCGCCCACCTCTCGCCCTTCTCGGGCTGCACGCTGTCCAGCACCATCATGGCCAGCCGCCGCCACATGTCTCCCTTCATCTTCCATCTCGCGTCGTCGTCGTCTTGGGGGTTTTCTCGATCACCGTTCGCTTGTCCGTTGAGGTGGCCGTAGTTGATCTTGTCTCCGCTGAATGTGTACGCGTTGTTGCTTTCATTATTGGTCATGTCGTTGAGTGAGGGTGGGGTGCTGTTCTCGAACGGAGCGCACGCCCTCTCTCCGTTCGCCAGCGCGCGGATGAACTTCGCTGTGTGGCCGTCATCCATGAACTGGCTGGCCGCGGTGAACATGTCGTTCCACTCGCGGAGGGGCAGCGATTTCGTAGAGTCGTTATTGGGCGGCGTTGGCGTCGGGGGATAATTGGTGATTTCACCGAGCAGGAGCTTCGGCGACCGTCGCGACGCGTACAACGCTAGATCAAGCCGGCCCTTATACTCGACCAGTTTTGCCTTCATGTGCGAAGTGATCCAGTCCTGCGCGAGGAAAACGCTGAGGAAAACGCTCGACGTCACGGCGTGCATGTAGAAGAAGTCCATCTTGACTACCCTAGGCGGCCTCTGCGCCGCGCCCGTGAAGTAAGCGGCCGCGTTGATGACCTCCGCTGCGGCTTCGTCGAGGCGCTGGGTCGAATAAGGTGGAGAGACACGCCACTGCGCTACGTAGGCGATCATTTCGTCCTTGGCACGCGCGAGGACCCCGTCGCGGACTTTCTGCGTGTCATCCCAGTGCGCTGCGGTGGAGACCTTGGCGTCGGTGCGGATCTTGGACAGCAGGTTTACCATCGTGTCCGGCTCTACCAAGGGTTTCGCGGCTTCCGCGGCGGCGAGCTCGAAGAAGGCGTCCATGTAGGTGGAATGCACGCAGGCCTGGGCCAGCGCCTCCGCCACGATGGCTGGCTGGTTGAATTCCACGCCGTAACCCAGATGGATGAACGGGTGGTAGTATCCCGCAAAGAGGCGGCTGAAGATGGTCTTGGCCAGCTCGTTGTCGTCGGAGAAGACGTACTTGTTTAGCACTTCGGGAATCGACGCTGAAGCGAACCGGCGCGTGAAGAAAGCCAGGAAGGTCGAGTAGTTCTCTGGTTTGGCCATGTGGGTCAGAAACGTCGTGGGGTCACGCTCCCTCAGTGACCTGATGATGTTCTCATCCGCTGGCCGGGGTGGGCGCTGGTAAGATGCGTTCTGTTCATATTGCTTCTGTAGCGTGTCTGCGTCGGCGCCCAGCACAAATGCAGCAAGTGTGTGGTGGACGATATGGTTGTGGCGGCCGATTTCGTCGAAGAGGATATCGTGCGCAGAGTGGTTGTGGTTCAGGAGAGCGCTGGCCTTGTCGGAGGCTTCTTGGTCTAGGACCGCGACACGGATGATGGCCGGGACGTTGGCGGAGAGACTGATCGTCGAAGCAGTTGCCATTTCGTAGCGTTGGTTTATGTATACTCCTTCCGGTCGAGTTGGGTATTTTTGGAGGTGATTCTCGGAGGAAGGGTGGATGCCTCATGGCAATATGGCAGACAGGTAATGTCGAGTTATATAAGGCCGCCAGACCGACCAACCAGTTTGTCGGGAGCCATCTGGGATTGGAATTGGTGTTTGACCTGTCGTGTGCATTGTGATGTTAGCAGCCTCTACTGCCTGGAGGTGACGGCGACATTTGGTTGATGTGGGGATGTGTGATCAGCTTCTCCTCATTCTGTGCTCGGACTTCTGACGTGAGCCAATGTGGTCGGATATTTGCCGACGCCGGAGTTGGGTCCCTCTTTACTTGGAAAGAGACGGGGCCGAGGCGTTCCAAAATCGATCACAATCCAATGTCCTCACGAAGACAGTGTAGATTCCTTTGTGGAGAGCCTGGACAGGAATGGAATCGCCAGCTTTGAATGCACTTCCTCATTTTGCATAGCACTGCACCCCCCTCGCTATGTCTTACAACACGAGATCTGTCCGCTAGGAATGGCAAAGAAAGCATCCTGATCCGTAGCCCATCTCTTCCAGCCTTCAGAGATGTTCTTGATCTCATTCTCCGTCGCAAAGCCTTCTCTGACAGCCGTCCCCAAGAATCCCGGTTGCAGGATCCTCCCAGCCCAACTTTGAGAGAACTGAGTCACTCGTTGCCCGGCGTATCTCCAGCAGTCCCACGTGGCAGTGATTTCACCCGGCAAGAAGCCAGCTTGTCTTGCCCACACGTGACAATAACGCCCTGCGTTTGGTTCGCCTCCATTCGTCCTCGCGACTCTCTGATAGAGTTCCGCCCACCTAGCTATTTCAGGGGTCTCTGGGTACCAAGCGAATGACTTGTAGTCCGCTTCTCGAGCGGCCACAATACCGCCAGGTTTGGCGACCCTTCGCATCTCCTTCAATATGGCAACGGGATCTTTCACGTGTTGCAGGACTTGGTGACAAAACACAATGTCAAAAGAGTTGTCCGGAAACGGTAAGTCATTGGCGTCGATCTTTTGGAATGTGATATTCGTCAGTCCCCTTGAGGAAGCAAACTGGGACGCTTGCTCGAGGACAGACTCGACAGCGTCGCCACCGATGACCTTGCCCTCCGGCACAAGGGCCGCTAGATCTGCAGTGATTGTACCGGGACCACAGCCGACGTCGAGAATGCTGTGGTTAGGTTTGATATGGGGGAGAAGAAAAGCAGCCGAGTCTTGGGCCGTTCGACGTGCATGGTCTTCGACCACTGATCTGTGATGACCGTGGGAATAGACAGCTTGCTCTTTTGCCATTGCGTGCAAAGACGGTCTTGAAGAGCACTTCGCTGAGGTGATGCCAGATCTCAGATGCACTTAGCTGTATAGTTGCGGCTATTATATGAAATAATCGATGTTCCAACAACAGGATATGAGGATGCGACCTTGTTATATCTTCATGACAATATTGGGGTATTGATTTGTGAGGCCGATATCGGCAGCATCCAGTTCCACCGAACGGCTGATATCTAATGGCTTGGTCAAGCCTCGTTTCTGTCGCTTTCACATGCGATTGGAGACAGATTCGTCCCGGTCCTCGAGGGATGCACAGAGGGGAGACCTCGAAAGACACGGATATTGTCGTGTTGAATGGTGAAGACGCGGACAACACGGAGATGGCAAGTTGGCGCCACTTTAGAGGCTATACTGCCAAGGCGCTAGCAGCAGGCGTGTCTCCTGCCGCCGTGAAGCCCGGAACCAAAAGCAGCGTGACCCGGGTCTGTCGAACCTGTCGTCTGACCTTTTCACCTTCCTCAATCTCGTCATATTGTCTACGAGAGAGCATTGATCCTGTTGGTGGAGGAGACTGTCGCGACTTCATGGCAACTCGTGTCTGCCATGGTCTGCAAGGATGGATGTCCCTTCTAGCATCTTCACCACCGTATGGAGCATCCTCAGGTACCTATTTCTCCTAGTCTTCGTCGAGCCGTGGACCAAGCCACACTTCGACGGCGACACGACACCAGTCACCTATGAGGCATGGTACACAGGGCAGTTCGAGTACGATGCAATTCATGGAGTCGATGAGTGGGTTACTGTGGACCGTCACGCGAGTTACGACTGGCAGGTCCTCCGAACTCTGAAGCGAGATCTTGAACGATCCCGACGGATGGGAGATGAGAGAGGCCTTTGTGGTCAGCTGAGAGCCCACAGTTCCCGTAACATGTGTCGCATCCTATCGCCTGCCTTGTACCGAAAATCAAAGATACAGACGAAACGACTCATCCACGACTATATTATGGAAGTACGACACTGTATCACTTATATTGCGGATCGCAATGCTATTAGCAATGGGGCTGCTCCTGTCGTCTCAGCCCAGGAAAAAAGACAAGCCATCATTGATATGCGGACTGCCCTTGGCCGTACAAGCCTGGTGCTTCAGGGAGGCGCTATGATCAGTATGTGCCATCTCGGAGTGGTCAAAGCACTTCATCTGCAGCGTCTGCTTCCTCGGATAATCACAGGGACATCGTCAGGAGCTCTGATTGCTGCGCACATATGTGTGACGAAGGACGAAGACCTGATGGGTGTCCTTGAGGCTACCAACATCAACCTAGATGCTTTTCTTCGGTCTCAAGAAAGTCGCGCTACAAATGGACTCAAATCTTGGTTCAACTCCTCCTTCTTTGCAACCATCAAACGACGGTACCAGCGCTACCGTACCTCACACCATGTGTTCGATATCGATGTTCTCCACGAATGTACCAAAGACAATCTTGGGGATATCACGTTTGAAGAGGCCTACGCAAAGACCGGAAGGATCCTAAACATAACCATCGCCATGTCTGAGGTGGCCGGAACTCCGCAACTCCTCAATTACCTGACGGCACCCCACGTCCTGGTTCGGTCCGCCGTGGTGGCGTCTATAGCGACTTCCAAAGCCATGTATGCCCCTGTCCAATTACTGTGCAAGAGCGCTACGGGTGACATTACCCTATATTTTGCCGCCGATTTCTCAGAGAAAGGCTGCAATCTGCACCGACAGGCCTCCGTTCACCCAGAAGCCCCATTGACACGTATAGGCGAACTGTTCAACGTCAATCACTTCATTGTGTCTCAGTCGAGACCATATATAGCTCCCTTTATTCAACTGCAGAACTTTGCCGACCGCCACCAACCTCTCGGCATCCTGGTTCGCTTCATCCTGGACGAGTTGCTGCATTGGCTGCAGGTCATGAATCACTTCGGTATGCTTCCGACATTCCTCCAGCGAGTGTTAATGGACGAAGTCGTGCCCACTCTCGCCTCCTGGTCCAAATTGTCCATCACGCCGCAACTCGGGCTGTGGGATCTCCTTAGCACATTTGACACTCCTACACCGGCTAAGTTGCAGAAATGGAGTGCTCGAGGGGAGAAGTGTACGTGGCCGTACATTTGTGAACTGAAAATCAGGTGCGACATCGAGCTGGAACTGGACGTCGCGTATACGAACCTCCGTCGAAGAGGAGGCATGGGATCGGTTATCAGACATAGAGCGGACCCATAGCATTATGTCAACAGCGGGCGATTTCCGAAGGCGTTTGATTGGCCGTCCCTTTTAAGCGAGCTCATTTCTTCTCTCCTCGTCTATCCCGCGGTTTGTGGCTGTACAGCAATCGTGGCGTTTTTCGATCAATACGCCGATCATGGCTTGAAGAATGACATCATTTTGCACGATCAACTGGGCTGGCGTGCCCATACCTGGAAGGAGACCAGAACCCTGAAATACTGCTCCCGCGAGCTGCTGAGCTGCGCCTTCTTCTATGTCGTCTCCCCCGGCAGGTTTTACAGTCTTCGATACTTCACACACCCAACCCCCGTATTTTCCAAGAAAATGTCCCACTCGGCCTTTACCAATTCAGCCTCGCCTACCTACGAAAAGGAGAAGAAACATCAGCGGATCAGCCGCCTGCTCGGGAAGAGAGAGAAGACTCCGGAACCACAGCCATACCTCGGACCTGATTCAGCATATGCGTCAAGCGGTGCCAATAGTGCAGATGGTGCTCAGGGACGAACCACTCCCGAAAGAGAGAGATACCAAAATGAAATAATATCCGCGGAGAAGGATAGCGAGATAGCCAACATCGACCAGGACAGGAACCTCGCGTTGAAGCCTTCGACTGGGGAGGTATTCGACGAGGACACGGGAGAAGTGGTTACCGTAGTGACAACGACCGTAAGTTTCCACGAGGCTCTGCTCTGCACCAAACTTGAGCACCTTGTCGCCAATGCCCGGGTCTTCTATGCTCGGTTCTCAAATGCTAACGATATACCAGACAACCACCACAACTACCACAACTACGAGAGGTGGGAAGAAACACCAGGACGTCCAAAAGGACGCCAAACGCGAAGTGCAATCTGGTCCAGGTCAGCAACCACAACTGCTAGAAATGCCCGCAGGATCCACAACCACGGAGCCCTCTAATCAGCGAACCATGACCTCTACTAGTACGGCCCAACAAGGAAGGCCACCTGTGGTGGCCAGTGGAGGATTGATTGCGGCTGACTCTCCTCCAATACCCGCCAAAAGTGCAATGAGGAGATCTGGTGACTTCTCCCGGGATGGATACCCTGTGGACAATGGTCCTGTGAGCCCCGTTGATCCTCCTTTTGTAAGACGCAATAGTGGGACACCACCCGCTAGTCCGTCGAGTCATAATTTCAGCTATCCCACTCGTTCCTCACTCAAAACAGCTCATCAGCCAATGCGACACAATCAAAGCACGATTAACGATCTGCGTGCAGCAGCCAAGGGACTGCATGTGAGTCTTTACTCGATTAAATTGAGGTACTTTGGAATCATTGGGCTGACTCTTGCGTTCATAGGGTGTCGGGGAGACTCTCCGAGGCACCTTTAACTCAAAAATCGACCGTCGCTTTCCATCTAAAAATCCCGAAAAAGCGGCTCGCATCAACGCCGAGAACGAACAAATCCTAGAAAAAGGTCGCGCTGAAATG